GCTTTAAAAAGTCTAAGTAAGTTGTAGTAGGGTAAGTAGAAGAGGCACAAATCATGCAGCAGTAGATGACTGTCGGCGTTGGGAAAACACGACTGGAAGGGGAGAGCATAAGCTTCTACAGGGAGCCCAGCAACTTACTGGCTGTATGACCTCAGGCTGGTTTCTTCTCTTCTCTGAGCATGAATTTTCTCATCTGTCAGATGCAGAGTATGATTTTATGAACCAAGGGAGATAAAATATGTGCAGCTGCTCTGCAAATCATAACCTTCCTTACGAGTGAAAGTGATTCATTTCTTTCCTGGGTTAGAAAAATAAAAGGTTCAGTAGGTTTTGGACACGCAGCCAGGGGATCCTGGCGTGAAACAGAGCTCCACTGCTAACTGTGCCGGGGGTGGGCCCTTCCCTTCTCGGGACCTCAGCTCTCTATGAAATGAAGAGACAGAAGTGCCCCAGTGGGTTCCAGGCTGGCTGTGCATCGCAGTCCCGATTGTGGTCAAGTAAAGCCAAAGATGCTGGGTGCTACCCTCGGTCTATCATATCACCGTGGCCTGGGTGATGCCCTGCAGCCTTACTTACAGCCCGCTCACAGGGTGGTTTGGACACCCCTCCCCCCGATTGGGGGGCGGGGAGGGGCCTTCCAGTCTGAAGCCTGATGGAGGGAAGTCAGAGCAGGGTTTGGGCTTTGGTGAGGGAAGGTGGTCACCCCAGGGGCTGGCAAGAGCTCTGTGAGGCCTGGGCTCAGGGCCATTGAAGACCTTCTGGTCCAAACTCTGATTTCAGAGACGGCCCAGAGGAAATAAGTGATGGGCTCACTGTGCCAAACCGGGGAGCACAGTCCAATTCTCCGGGTCCCCAGTCAGGGACACTTCCACTACACTCCAGCTTCCCCAACCAAGAGGATGTGTGTTTTGACCAATATATTTTATACTTGAGCTCAAAGTTACAAACAGTGAAAAAAATGTACAGATAGTATGAGTATACAGTTCCATGAGGTTTAACAAATGTATACACCTGGGAAAGCAGCACCCCAATCAAGATATAGAAATTGCTTCATCCCTTGTGCTCCCATTTTTTTAAAAAAAATTCTCACCAAAGGATATTTTTATTGATATTAGAGAGAAAGGGGAGAGAGAGAGAGGAAAAAACCATTGATGTGAGAGAGAAACATCAGTCAGTTGCCTTCCGGGGATTGAACCTACATCCATTTGGTATACGGGACAATGCTCTAACCAACTGAGCCACCCAGCCAGGGCTGTCCCAAAGCTTTTTATCCACTTATCTACTGATGGGCACTTGGGCTGCTTCACTAGCTTGGCTATTGTAAATAACGCTGCACTAAGCATAGGGGTGCATATATTCCTTTGGATTAGTGTTTCAGGTTTCTTAGGATATATTCCCAGAAGTGGAATTGCTAGGTCATAAGACAGTTCCATTTTTTAGTTTTTGTGGAAACTCCATACTGCTATTCACAGTGACTGCACCAGTCTGCATTTCCAACAGTGCACAAGGGTTCCTTTTTCTCCACATCCTCTCCAGCACTGATGATGGCCATTCTGATAGGTGTGAGGTGATATTTCATTGTGCTTTAATTTGCATCTCTCTGATGATTGGTGACATTGAGCATCTTTTCATATGTCTGACCATCTGTTTCTCCTTTTGGAAAGGTGTCTATTCAGGTCCTTTGCCCATTTTTTTAACTGGATTGTTTGTTTTTTGGTGTTGAGTTGTTTAAGTTCTTTTTGTTTGTTTGTTTGGTTTTGTATGTGTGTGTGTTTTTAAGGATCCGGGGTTTAATCGTGGTCCACAGGTTCCAGAAGCGAACAGAGAGTAGAGGCAAAAGCGACGTCAGTACCTTAGCACGTTATGGACTGCACTCGGGGAGGGATCTGTGCCAGGAAAGTCTGTGCATCCCGCAGGAGAGAAAGAAGCAGCAGGGCTGCCTACCGGGCAGTCTCGGGGTCCCCAGGGGTGCGGCTCCTCGAGCTGTTGGCCACCTTCCGTCCGCTTCCTGGGGTGCAGCTGGGTGCTGGGCGCTGGTGCGGGAGGCTGGGGCTCAGCGCGGCGCCAGGGACCACAGGGCTGTGCGGCCCAGCGCCTGAGCCTCCCCTCGCGGGGACTGCGGGTCCCAGCCCGCGTTCCTGGCCCCTCTCAGCTCCGGGACCCTCCGCATCCCAGGGGCGAGGCTCTGGGAGCCAGAGGCGGGGTCGCAGGAGGGGCGGCTCAGCGCAGGGAAGTTGTCCATGGTCCAGGCCCAGGCCTGCGCGCGGTTCAGGCCCGGCCGCAGGGTGAGCTCCGGGCACACACACCGCCAGCAGGACGGGTCTCCCAAGGCGGATGGATGCGCTTCCATGGCTGCAGCCTTCTGGGCAGCGGAGAGGGAGGTGGGTGCAGGGGAGGAGGGCATCGAGTTGTATAAGTTCTTTATAAATTTTGGATATTAATCCCTTAACAGATGTACCATTGACAAATATGTTCTCCCATTTAGTGGGTTGTCTTTTAATTTTCTTGATGGTTTTCTTTGCTGTGCAACAACTTTTTAGTTTGATGTAGTCCCATTTGTATATTTTTTGTTTCCCTTGCCCAAGTTGATATATCAGAAAATATATGGCTACAAGAAATGACCAAGTTTTTACTGCCTATGTTTTCTTCTAGAAATGTTATGGTTTCAAGTCTAACATTTAACTCTTTAATCCATTTTTGAATTTATTCTTGGATATGGTGTAAGAAAGTGATCTAGTTTTATTTTCTTGTACGCATCTGTCCAATTTTCCCAGTACCATTTATTGAATAGACTATCTTTACCCCATTGTATATTGTTGCCTCTTTTGTCAAATATTAATTGACCATAAAGGCACGGGTTTATTTCTGGGCTGAGAACTGGCTTTAAATACGGAGTCTTTCAATCTATAAATATTATTTATCTATTCATTTATTTGGGTCTTTATACATGAGACTACTACAAATGCTATTTTTGTTGTACTTTCCAATTGTGTTTTGCCAGTGTATAGAAATACAATTGATTTTTTTTAGAATTTAACAGCCTTATGGAGATATAATTTACATTCCATAAAAATCACCCATTTTAAGTCTGTAGTTCAATGTGTTTTTAAGTGAATTTATGCAGTTGTGAAACTCACACCGTAATTCATTTTTAGAATATTTCCATCACTTCAAAAAGTTCTTTTGTGCCTGTTTGCAGTCAACCCCCACTCCCAACCCAGCTTCAGCCAACCACCGATTTCCTTTCTGTCTCTGTAGTTTTACCTTTCCAGAAATGTCACATAAGTAGAATCATATATCTTGTCTTATATGTCTGACTTCTTTAACCTAGCATAATATTTTTAAGGCTCGTCCATATTATTGCAATAGCTTGTTGCCTTCTTTATTGCTGAATAATATTCTATTGTATGGGTCTTCTACATTTTGTTTTCCGGTCACCATTTTTTTAAAATATATATATATATTATTGATTTTTTTACAGAGAGGAAGGGAAAGGGATAGAGAGTTAGAAGCATCGATGAGAGAGAAACATCGATCAGCTGCCTCCTACACACCCACCACTGGGGATGTGCCCGCAACCAAGGTACATGCCCTTGACCGGAATCGAACCTGGGACCCTTCAGTCTGCAGGCCGACGCTCTATCCACTGAGCCAAACTGGTTAGGGCTCTGGTCACCGTTTGATGGACATTTGGATGGTTTTCAATTTGGGGCTATTATGAATGTTGCTGCTATGAACATGAGTGTACAAGTTTTTGTGTGGACATGTGTTTTCATTTCTCTTGGGTGTATGCCTCAGAGTGGAATTGCTGGGTTATAATTGTGTTTAACTGTTTGAGGAACTGCCAGATTGTTTTCCTAAGTAGCTGCACCATTTTACATTCCAGTGTATGAAGATGCTTATTTCTCCACATCCTTGTTCACACTTGTTATTATCTGGCTTTCTGATTATATCAGTCCTGGGGCATGTAAAGTAATATGGTGTCACATACTACTGATGACTTTCATTTTCCCTGATGATTGATGATGATGATAAGCACATTTTCACATGTTTATTGACTATTTGTATATTTTCTTTAGAGATGTACCTAATTTTACATCCTTTATCCATGTTTTTAATTGAGGTAAAATTCACATAAAATTAACCATGTTCAAGTATTCAATTAAGTGGCATTTAGTAGATTTGCAGTGTTGTGCAACCATCTCCTCTATCTAGTTTCAAAATATTTTTATCATCCCAAAAGGAGACCCCATACCCATTAAGCAGCCGCTCCCCATTCCCCAGACTCCAGGCCCTGGCAATCACTAATCTGCTTTCTGTCTGTATGGATTACCTATTCTGGAATTTCATACAAATGGAATCATACAATATGTGGCCTTTTGTGTCTGGCTTCTTCTACTTGGTATAATGTTTTTAAGATTCCCCCATGGTGTAGCATGTATCAGTTCTTGATTCCTTTTTATGACTGAATAATAGTCCATTGTATGGATATATTCTATATTTGTTGATAGCATTCATAAGGCATTGGAAACTTGGGCCATTTCCACCACCTGACTATTGTGAATAGTGTTGCTATAAACACTCATGTATAAATAATAAAAAGATTGTTTTAGCTATTCTGGGTCCCTTCATCCCTTGCATTTTCATAAATTTTAGGATCAGCTGTCAATTGTCAATTTCTGCAAAGAAATCAGCTGTGATTTTAATCACGTTGACCCTGTAGATCAATATGGGAGGTCTTATCAACATCTTAACAATATTAAGTCATCTAAGAACATGAACTGCCTGTCCATTTATTTCGGTCTTCAGTTCCTTTCAATAAGGTTTTGTCGTTTTCAAAGTATACAGTTTGCACTGGAAAGGTGCAGTGAGGCAGTGGCCAGAGAGCTGTGTCTCGCTGTAAAGTGCAGTGCACAGGTAAGGGAGAGGTCACAAGAATAAGATTACTGAGCAGCTCTTCTTACCTACCGTCCATCTTTCCTCTTCTGTCTCCCTCCCAGAGCACCTAAAGAAGCCACTTGAAGACTACATGGCCCATTTCCCCAGCGTGAGGATTCTCCGAACCAAGAAACGGGAAGGGCTGATAAGGACCCGGATGCTGGGGGCCTCAGCGGCAATAGGGGATGTCATCACATTCTTGGACTCACACTGTGAAGCCAATGTCAATTGGCTCCCCCCCTTGCTCGGTAAGGGACTCTCCCAAGACAAGGTAGACGATGTGGAATGAGCCAGCCGCCACTGGCCCCAGACACAAAGGTTCCCTTGCCTGCTGAGGTGCACCCAGCATGATGCCAGGTGCACTCAGAAGTTCAGGAGTGCTCAAAGGGACCTGAGCAACCCATTCGGTCCTGTTCCTTCGTTTTCCAGAGAAAGAAGCTGAGACTCAGAGAGGAGAAGTGACTTGCCCAAACTCATACAGCACATTAGTTTCTAGTGACATGGTTGCTCCCCCAGATTACTTCAAAGTTTCTTAGAAAGCAAGCCAAGACTGTCTACCATTAAGAACCAAACTGAGAGCAGTTACTATTGACGGCACGGCTTCTATGAGCCAGCAAGGTTGCAAGCATGGTCTCTAACGCTCACAAAACTATGCCAGGTCAGACGTATCCCTTTTTTATAGTAGAAGAAACTGAAGTTCAGAGATATTGAATGATTCACTTATTCCCTTGGGCCGTAAGTATAAAAGTCACCATCTGTCTGGCTCCAAAGTCTGTCTTTCATGATTCCACATTGCCTCCCTAAATTCAGTCCTCTTTGGAGAGTTTATGACAACTACGAGGGAAGGACTGTAGATGCAGGGCAGCGTGATGCAGGAGTTGTCTACCAATGCTTGGAGGACAGAAGGGAGACACGAGGATTGGATGCCGGTGTCTCCTTGCTGGTTGGAGAACCAGGCCTGCGTCCCCAGTTCTCCGCTTTGATAAAGGCAGCGCGCCGGTGCGGACAGTTGGACATTGAAGAGGAAATGTCCCACTGGGACTGGGAGTCAGGAGAGGGATAGTGATGGAGGCAGATTCGGGGAGAGCTACCAATCCAGAGAGCAAGCAAACCCCTCAGAAGTGGAGGGATATGCTCTCCGTAACAGAAAGCTTAGGGAGCAAAGAGGACTGGAGTTTAGGGCAAACGTGAGTGCGCCTCAGAATCACCTGGAAGACTTGTTAAAACGGAGTGCCAGGCCCCACCCCAAGGTTCCGATTCGGGGGGTCCAGGGTGGGGCCTGAGAAGCTGTATTTCTAATCAGCGCCCAGGTGGTGCCAGGGCTGCTGTCCAGGGACCACGCTTTGAGGAGCACTGGTTAGGCCACCGTTCAAAGGAGAGGACAGAACCCAAAACCCACACAGCTGAGTGGGATAACCAGCGTGCTAGGTCCCAACACAGATCAGCATGGACCTTCGTGTTAGATTATGCACTTGTGTGTGGTTAGGAAAAGGATATAACCCAGATTCTCTGGTAAACAGTTGATTTCATTAAACCAAGAGGTCTGCTTCTGCCTCTCATGACTGAAAGAGAACAAAAAACAAAAAAGCCTCACCATAAATCTCCTAATTGATAGTCCTGAAGGGACAACCAATTTGTTGGGTCATTCGGTGACTCATAAAGAGAATGGAGTGGTGGGGCAGGAAGCTGAACTGGTCATCTAAATAGCCCTTAACTCTGTTTCTATGGAAATACATGAAGGTAATTTTCATAATCTGCCGACATACACGGAAGAAGCATCCCCCCTCTTTTTTTCTTTCCTTTTTGCAATAGAAATGTGAACCACTGGTGTAGATTTAAAAGTCTGCCCTGCTAATATGATCAGCAGACAGAGCCCATTATGGCTTTTGTCTCTGAAACCATTTACACCTCTGAGCACAGCTCAGTCTGCCTTCTTTGGAGAGCAAGCATTTCTGAGAGAGAAGGAATCAGCACCCCAAAGGAAAACTGCTGTTGATCATCATTTCCTCCATCATTATCATCATCATCATCATCATCACCATCATCATCTCATGGCTCTGCTAGTTTCCTAGCTTTCTAGGCCACATCCCCATTTGAATTTGATGATTCCGTGGTAGAACAAGCAGGCCAGGCATTATTAGCAGCATCTTGCAAATGAGAAACCTGAGGGGCAGAGAGAACGAGGGAGATGCTCAGCCTTCCAGTGCCTGCTTCTGAGCTTCTGTCAGCAACCCTGGTCACAGACGGCGTCGGGAGTACTGATCACGTGCTAGGCGCCTTGGCCTCATTGTCTCTCAGTCTTCAGAGACCCCACGAGATAGGCGCTGTCTTCCTCCATTTTGTCGGCAAGGAAACCGAGACTCAGAGGCATCGCATGACCTTTCCCAAGGTTATACCGCTAGTAGGTGACAAAACCAGGATTCGAACCTGGGCATTCTGTCCCCAAGTGAGCCCAGCACTGAACGCTGCTGCGCTGCTGCAGCCCCTTGGCCTCTTACCTCTCACAGTCAGCCAGTACCCAGCAGAGCTCAAACCCTCCCCTGAAGTGAGATCCCCTGAACGGCCATGAATAGTGAGGAAGGGAGGCCTTCTCTAGCTCCTTCCCTGGAGAAGGGTGTTCTGCTTCATTAAGAATCCCCAGGGAGCCTGTCACAAGGTTGCTCCATCTCAACCCTCAGAGATTCTGCTTCAGTAAGTGGGGGAGGGGTAAACACACCCCAGGTGGCAGATGCCCACCTACTCTGACCCCCCACCACACTCCTCATTCCAAGTCTTGAATTTGACTCCTGGCCCAAAGCTGGGAGACACACACACACACACCCCGCACAGCCCACTTGCCCCTCGCTGGGAGATATTTGCCCCAGCAGCTCACTGGCACCCCCGGAGGAGAATGCTGGGTCTTGGAGATGTTAGTTATGTAGCTGGACCAGGTCCCCTGTCTTAGGCGTCAGGACTGGGATAGGAGCCCTGGTCCATCTTTTTTAAAGCTTGCGCCCTCCCTTCTCCAGGATTCTCAAGCTCAAATGTTCAGATAATTCACCCAGGGAACACATTAAAAATTCAAATAAGCTTCAGAACAGGGTCATGCACTTAGCTGCTCCCCCATCCTGCCTCCCTAATGGGCATCTCTCGGCTTCTTCAGACCGCATCGCTCGGAACCGCAAGACCATCGTGTGCCCGATGATTGATGTGATTGACCACGATGACTTCCGGTATGAGACCCAGGCGGGGGATGCCATGCGGGGCGCCTTTGACTGGGAGATGTACTACAAGCGAATCCCAATCCCTCCAGAACTGCAGAAGGCTGACCCCAGTGACCCATTTGAGTAAGTATGAGTCACCAGGCTGGTCCCAGTAGCTGAGCTGACCCGGTGACCCCCTCCCCAACACACACAACTCAGGATCACCAGCTCCCCCAAAAGTCCAGTGCAGAGGGGCCAGGGCAGATGTCCCCAACCAGAAGCACAGTCCATCCCAGCGTGTCAGAGCCTCAGCTCATGGACCACCAAGCTGGTCACCTCATCCTTGCCCGCCTCTGTGCAGTTTGCTGCCATTGCCAATGGGGGCTGAGCAGAGTTGCTCATGCTCCCTCCCTCAAGCCTCCGGTTGTAATTATCATCGTCATCACCACTTATTGAACACTTTCTGAGTGCAAGGCACCGCGTGCTGAGCACATCACAACCTGATCGTCTTTAACCCTCTCAACTTTTATTTAAATTAATATTCATGTTTTCCAATGTGGACATCAGGGTTACAGTAAGTTACCTAGGTCATACAGCAATGAAGTGGCAAAGGCGCAGAGGTGGGCTTCCCTGAGGAAATGGAGGGGCCGGGGCGATGGAGCTGCGTGAGCAGAGCCCCGGTGCCTCTTCAGCAGGTCAGACGTTTGTTCTTTTCCTGACCTATGTCCTCAACATGGGCCAGCACTACTAGCAGAGTCAGAGTCAGAGAGGAGGCGACACCTGCCAAGATGACACATAGTAGAGGCTGAGTCAGAACGGGCTGCTCCAGGAAATGGAGTTTTCAAGGTAACCAGAACCCCCTGTATGGTTTGACCCTTTGCCATGAGCCAATTCATAGGCTCTAAGATTTGAAAGGTGCATAGGGTAGGGCTTGGCCTGTTCACCCTCCTCACTGGGATGAGGAAAGGGCACATTCAGGTCATGCAATTGGTTAGTAGCAGAGGCCCAGCCAGTTTCCTCTGAGGGCTCAGTCTCCTCATCTGGATATTGAAGGGTTGGCCCAACCCCAGAGCAGTAGCTCTCAACCCTGGGTGCCTATTGGCATCATGTGCAAGTCACCCTCATCCCACCCCCAACCAATTACTCCAGAGTCTGGGGGTGAAATCTGGACATCATTTTTGTTTATTTGTTTGTTTGTTTGTTGTTTGTTAATTCTCACCCAAGGATATTTTTTCCATTGATTTTTAGAGAGAGTGGAAGGGAGGGAGGGAGAGAGGGAGAGAAACATTGGTGCGAGAGAGACATCAACTGGTTGCCTCCTGCATAAGCCCCAACTGGAGCCAGGGATCAAACCTGGGTTTGTGCCCTTGACCAAGAATTGAACCTGTGACCCTTTGGTGCTCAGGCCAACACTCTAACCACTGAGCAACAGTCGCCAGGGCTGGACATCATTGTTTTTTGAAGATCCCAGGTGATACTGATGTGTGGCCAAGGTTGAGAGCCCTTCCTGAGGGGCTCTCCCTCCATTGTGTCCTCTGATTCCTTCCAGAAGTCTCTCCTCTATATTGCACTTGGACAAAACCCAGGGGAGAGGCTACAAGAGAAATCCTGGTCATTTTCTGCACACCTCCCCATGGTGCCAGCAGACAGGCGATCTGTAGGCACAGCGTGGTGTAATGATGTTTGAAAAACTCGGGCTTTGGTGGCACACCCCGGTGTGAATTGCGGCTCATCCACTTACTCCCTGCATGCCCTTGTGCAGAGTATGTAGCATTTCTGAATTTCAAATTCCTCCATCTGAAAAGGGGCCTAGTGATAAGGCTTTGTGAGAGCTGGAGATAATGTCGGTCAAGTGCACGGCAGACACTAGACACTCAGAATTGTTGTTATTGCAGAAAATAGGTCGGGCTAAAGGAGAGGCTCCCTCTGGAGTCACAGCCTCAAGCATCCAAACACCGTAAGGCCAATCGCCTACCTGTTGTGAGGCCTCCTCATGAGGCAGCTCCTTAGCCAGGCCCCTGGCTACCGGCCAGGCTGGTTTTTGAGTGCAGAGTCTTGAGTTTGATTTCTCATGAATACACCCCTCTGAGCAGCGTATTTAAGAATCCAGCCAGAAAACCCAAACCCACAATCTTCCGAAGACAGGAGAGAGTTGATACCATCGCCACCTTATCTTCTTATAGTCCTAGGTGCTTTCAGAAATACACTAGCAAGGTGAGCTAGGAAGTGTCGCTGTAGGTCTGCTGTGTAAACAGGACGCAGCCTCATTGAGGTTAAAATCAGCACCGTCCAGCAGAAATGCAAGCCACATATGTACTTTCAAATCTCCTAGTAGCCACATAAAAAAGGCAAAGAGAAGCAGGTAAAATTCGTTTTGGTAATATATTTTATCTAAGCTGGCATAGCTAAGATATTCCCATGTTAGCATGTAACCAACACTGTGAAATCACTAATGAGATTTTTGTGAGCTTTACGCTTGCATCACATCTCAATCCAGACCAGCCACATATCAGTGCCCCATACCGGGCAGCACAGGGCCCAGTGGTTAAATCCCTCATCGCAGACACACCGCAGGCAAAGGAAAGCCCAGGGTGCAGTGAGGGTTTCCCATCCTTTCACTCAATTGCCCCTTCTCGACTGCCCCTCCCTGACAGGAGGTGGTGTGCTGTGGCCATGAGGGGTGTGGTCTGTGGCCATTTAGAGGGTTAAATCCTGCTTAATGGCTGTGAAGCCTTGAGCAAGTTACCGCTGTACCCTGGTTTCTACCTCCATAAAAGAGGATCGTAATGATGAGGCCTACCTCCTGGGGTCTACGTGAGGAGTGAGGTCGTTTCATTGCTAAATTAGTTCATTACAGCACCTGGGATATTCAAGCCCTTGGTCATAGTCAAGAGGACCCCTTTTATTTTTGTGTGTTTTTTCATTGAGATTTTAGAGAGGGGAAGGGAGAGAGGGAGAAAGAGAGAAACATCTGCACTCCCAGAGGCCCCTGTGACCCCACCTGTCTTCGGGGTCCTCTGTCCTGAGGCGCTGCCCCGCCACACTGGCATCCCTGGGCCGTCCGGCTGCTTTACCTCCAGATGCCTCCAGCACCTGCTTCCAGCCGGCACTGGGCGAGCGAACTGAGGAGCGTGGGCGAGTGGAGTTCACCTTAGCCCCGTGTGACAAAGACCAGAGGCTGCGGCTTCTGTCACCTCTCAGCAGAGCAAGTGTGTGCTGAACGGACAGAGGCCTCACCGGAGCAGGTCCGAAACGCAGGTCCTGAGGCTCCTTCCCCATAGATGGTTTTGTAGGTCTGGGGGAGGCCCAGGAAGCTGTATGGTTTTCATCGCTAAGACAATTGACGGCCTGGTGGGAGGACTGGGGGGAGAGAGAGAGAGATGATTCAGCTACAAGGTTCACGGGGAGAACACGCTGTGATTTCATTTCACAGGGATTCCCTGGTGTTAAACGTGTATAGGAACATTGGGTCCACTTGGTTAAAATGTAGCATTTATGAAGGGAAGTGTAGGCAAGGAGGACAAAGGCCTGGGCCCTCACCCAGAAGGGCCTGGGATTCCCTGCGGAACACATGGGCTGTGTTCATGGATCAGCGAGACCACCATTGCAGGGGAACAGCGGTGTCCGCGTGCTCTCAGGTCCACGTCTTCACACCACGCTCTGCTTCCCTGACAGGTCTCCCGTGATGGCCGGTGGACTGTTCGCCGTGGACCGGAAGTGGTTCTGGGAGCTGGGCGGGTACGACCCAGGCCTTGAGATTTGGGGAGGGGAGCAGTATGAGATCTCATTCAAGGTGAGCCAGCTCCTGGGAGCCCCCTTCTCCTGGCACAGCCCCTTGGCCGCTGTGCTGGCATGTCGCCCACCTCCTATCTGTCTGAGCCTGGAAAGAGAAGGCCGCAGGGCTCCTAAGGCGAAGGAGTCACAGTCTCCCTTTCTTTGTGGGACTCTTGGTGGGCCTCAGGTGAATATCAGGTCTCTCTGAGGGGAAGATTAGCCGTGTGGTCAGCCAGGACTTGCTTCTCGCATCCCCAGAACCCCTGGTAAGGTGTCTCCCCAGCTCAGAAGGGATGGCCAGCGGCATTATAGCCAGGCCAGAAATGGGCACGTCTGTGTTCTGAGTTCTCACCAGAATGTAAACTTCACTGGGGTAGGGATCTTGGTGTGTTCCACTTACCGCTGTATCCCAAGTACTGGACACGTGTCTGACACAGAGAAGACACTTCATACATGTGTTGGTTGAATACTCAGAGCAGGCCTGTCACTGGCCAGAGCCACCTCCTTGGGCAAGGAGTCCCCCTTCAGAAACTCACTTTGTGGAGAACAGTGAATGGAGAAAGATTTGCCCAAAGGACTTCCTAAACCCAAAATGATTCCATTCTGTGTGTTTTTTAAAGGCCCGTCTAATGATGCTCATCGGGCAATTACAGCACTACAAATGGCATTTTCTCCACACAGTGTATTTACAGAGGCCTCGGTAATGAAGCCATTTTGGAAGTCTGTCACGGGGAGGCGGGAGGAGGCTGGTTCCTGCTCCCATTTGATCCAATTATGTCCTTCACCTCGAGGGAAAGAAGACGGTGTAATGAGGAGGCTCCCTTCCCCTCTCCTGGCTTTGCGAGCGTGAGTTTCCGGATCCGTAGCAGCCCATCTGCCAGTGCATTGTCCGAGGCCCCGTGGACAGCCCTCCACGGCGCCAAGCGGACAGGAGAGCTCGATCCTCTGCTGGCAACGCCTCCCTGGAATGCCAGCTGCTCCATCCCCGGCCGAGCGGGCATTTGCAAAGGGCCAGACTCCCTCTGATTTATCTCTGCTGCGGCCCCGTTTCTTCTTGGTGACGGAGAAGAGAGACGGGTATGAAAGGCTGAGTGTATTTTCAGAAACTAAGACAAGTTGATATGTGCCAACAGCACTGATGGATTAATAATTTGACTCCAGTTCCAGACTAGACCATCTATCCTGACGGGAAAACCTCAGAAAAGATTCCTAAAGGCTCTGAGATTTCTAGAAGAGTCATTGACCCTTTTCTTGCCCTCTTTCCCATCCTCTCATTTCTCTTAGCCAACAGAGATTTATTTTTCCCCAAAAGGCACAGTCACGCTATCAGCACCTTGTCCTCCTACCCCATTGCATTAGTCTGGACTCTTGGTTACAGGTGACCAAAATCCTAGTTGAACTGATTTAAGTGAAAAGTCAGAATCAATTGGCCCACACACTGGAATTCCAGGTAGACCCTCCAGGCCCGGCTGGATCCAGGGACTAACTCGTCCCAGTCTCTGTCCCTCAGTCCCCTGGCTGAGGTTGGCTTCCTGCGCAGGCAGGCGTTCTCTCTGTGGGGAGTTCCTCTCTCCCATCTTCCTGTCCCCACGTTGTGTCTCATTGGCCTGCTGGTCCCTTACCTCCCTGAGCAATGTTCGTATTGGTCAGCTACAGTCACATGTCCATCCTGGAACCAGGAAGATGGGCTGGCTCCCCAGAGGAAAGTCTGGCCACTGTATCCAGAAGGGGGAATAGATGTGGAGGAAGGGGAACCGTAGATGTCCACCTCCCCCAGCCCGACAGCACTGCTCACTGGCCACAGGCCCATCTTTGGAGGCACACACTGTTCACTCTTTCCTCAGGCTGGCCACTCCACACTCAGCCTTCTGGGCTCAGCTCTATAGATGGCCTCCTCTCCGCCTCACCTAGCTCCCTGGGTTCAAATACCTCGAGGTGACATGACCCAAGGGTTGGCCTGTCTTCCCCACTGGACTCTGAGCTCCCTGGAGGCTAGGAGTGGGTCTTGTCCCATCTCTGTACCCCAGGGCCTCGCCATCATAGTGTTTTAAATAACTGTTACTGGCATTGATTCCTATCTGATTATACTGTTTTCACCCTGCCCTCCCCAGACTTACATCACCATCTCTGGGTAATGGTGGTGTGCTGGGAAAGGTGTCGGTGAGAAGGCAGGGCGCTGGCCTCACGTCCCAGATGGTGCTGAGGTACTTTTCCTTCCTCCCCCACGAGGTAGGATTAAACAAGATGCTCTCGCACAGGCGCGAGGGTAGTTTGGGCTGGACGTGGCGGTGGCAGGGAGCAGAGAGGGGGCCGCACAGTGTCCCCAGGAGGCCGGGTTAGGGCAGCCTCAACTCTGAGACCCAGAGAGAGAAGGAAACACACGACAATGTGGCTGAGCAGGCGTAAGGAAGACGTGGGCTTTGGGGTGATGCAAGTGGGTATTTCTCTTATTAAGAGCAGTTTAGCAAAATCTGTTACATTTCACAGCGAGTACGTTCTTTGACCCAAAATTCCATGCCCAGGAGTTTACCTGAGAGACAGTGCATAGATGAGCAAAGATTTAGGTAGAAGCTATTTATTGAAGCGTTACTTACAATAGGGGAAGATTGAAAATGACCCAAATCCTCGGGGGATAATAAGGTAGCGCATATCCCAACAGTGGAATACTCTACAGAGGGTGACTTACGGTGGTTCTGCTGTTACTTTAAGGTGGTACGCAAGCAGCAAGCATTCGGGAGAAACCGTACTGAGATTTTGAAATGTGATCTTTTCTTGGGCTGGTGGTACGCTGTACAATACTCTCCATGGTGCTGGGCAGCGGCAGCCACAGCTCCCGTCAGCCACGCACATGGTCACCAGGGTGCACAACCGAATCTCCACAGTGGATCCACTGTGTTAGGTGATCTTGCCCACCTATAGGCTAAAGAAGGAAAACATATGTAGGTTTTCAGCTTTCTGGGCCCATCTCCTCTCCATGTATATCCCAACACTTGGGCCATTTGCAAGTTCAGGGCTAGGATTTCCCACGAGAAGGGAGTCCAGGGAGAACAGAGCCCTGAGTGCGTCTCCACAGGGCGGCTCTGGGGGCAGAGATGTGCACAGCCCTGGGAGGGATGGAGCAGGGAGGTGGTCTGAGGGTGCCGTACGCAGATTGGGAGAGCAAGGTGGTGGTGGAAAGGCCCGGGAGGGCCAAGGGAGAGCCATGTTCCACCTGAGAGGGAACCCATCACATCTGAGTAGCTTAGAGGCCTCAGATGAGTGCTGTTTGAATTATTTGACACCAATATCCTTACCAAAAGCCAAACTGATCCCAGACTGGGCGGATTTAAACAACAGAAACACTCAGGTTTCTTTTTCATAAAGCTCACTGCATCCTCAAGAGGATGAAGTGAAAATCGAGTGTGTGAAAGCAGGTAGATGCACCCAGAACCTGGTCAAGGGTGGCATGGAGACTGGTGCCCTAAGTGGTTAGGGGACGAGGCCAGGGTCCCTTAGCTAGACAGGGGCAGAGCCAGAGCTGAGTGAGTGACCGAGGACCTTGATTGCCAGCCAAGGGTGACCCCTGTGTTCCGCAGGCACTGCAAGTGCTGATAGGGTCTCTGCGGAAGACCATGAGGGTCAGGATCCGGCTTCAGAAAGATTAAACCTCTCCCTGGAGGCCTCTGATCTGCCTGGTTCTGAGGACCCAACCCCGATTCCACCCGGGACTCTGCCATGCGTGAGCTCAGGAACCGTGGGGAAGGCACTGCCCCCGGCTGAGCCTCGGTTTCCTCACGTGTCACGGTGTGATGGTCACTCCTCCCTGGGTGGTTATGCGTGTGCTGTCTTTCCAAATACAAGTCAAAACCTAAAGGATCCTGGAGCTTTACTGAATTTGTTTATTAAATATTTAATTTATTTAGATACATATATGCTTAAAGCCTTATATAAAATAATGCATTAATTTAGAAGTAAATTCAAATGGTTTTTACTAGTAAATATAGTAAAATTGTCTTCCCTACACTTTTTACCAACAATATCCAGTAACCATTATAAACAGTCCAAACTAACATGAGTGAGGTCCCAGAACAGCATCTTGACATTCAAAACAAACTGATATATTCACAATCATAGGAACTCCGGAAGACATGGGTCCAACGCCCTCCTTTTCTGAGGGGAGCTGCGGGCATACGTGCAGTGCCAGTCACCGGTGCAGTGCCATGTGTCCAGGTGGCACCACAGGGGTGGCTCCCGGTTCTCTGTGCTTCAGAGTTACCTCCTTTCAGCCTCATCGCAACCTGGGAGGTGGGCACAGTAATTCATCCTGTTTTGGAGATGAGGAAACCAAGGCTTTCAGACCCACAGAACTTGCCCGGATTGTGAGTCTGGGGAGGAGCTTGGATTCAACCTCACTGAGTTCTGTCTAACTCTGGAGCCCAAGCTCCTGACGCTGCCCTCTGTTCCTCCCACGCACACAGATCATGCAGAGTAATCGGTGGCGATTATTACCTTCTGTTTCCCCAAAGGGCAGCTGGATAGGATTTGAACTCCATAGGGGTCCGCGGCCAAGATGCCAACAGCAGAAGATGGGGCTGGCTGCCGCCTTCCCCCCAGTCCCATCCCTGGTTGGCTTCCAGGCAGCCGTTCCTTGACAGAGAGAGATTTCTCCCCAGCCCCTGCCCAGCCCAACCAGCCCTTCCTTCCACCGCCCTCTCTCCAGGCCCCATTGTGTCTTCCTGATGCACATCGCCACTCGTCTCTCCTCCTTCGTTTAGGAGATAAGAGCAAGCAATTGTCTTTTATAGACACTGTAATGAAGCCTGTCATCACACAAAAGAAGTTTGCTAACAAAATAAATCAAAGCAGCAATGGCAATGAATGGGGAGCAAGCTTTTACAGTGAGATTTGTACTCGTCTTGTGGCATGACGCTTCCAGTGAGAAGGCTGTTCCCCGGCACCCAGCTGACGGGCTCCGTGGAAACCTTCTGGTGAAGCAAGGCTCCCAGAGCAGGCAGGGATGGGGTGGGGGCTGGGACAGGGCAGGGAGGGAGGGAGACAAGAAAGCTGACAGCAGAGAGGGGCTGCACAAATGTCATCTCAGTGGCCTGTAAATGCAAATATGATGGGGTCCAGTCAAACATGCTGGCTGTGGCCGGCACTGCAACTCCCCGTTCTCTGCCACCAGCTGGACTCCTGTGCCCGTGTGTTACCAGGGGCGGGGGGAACACACATGGTGCCCCGTGATTGTGTCCCCACCCCCACCCCATCATTCTCCTGGTCAGTTGCAGGTTCTGCCACCAACTCAGAAAAACTACTTATTCTCTCTGAGCCTCAGTTTCTCCATTTAGAAATTGGACCATAGGACAAAAGATGTGATGGCGTTGGGCCAAAGGGCAAACTCCAGCTGAGGACAGGGCGGCTCCCAGGTGGCTGCCTGGCGTGAGGTCATGAGCTGGCATTGGGACCGCAGAGTGGTGTGTGCCGTGGTGTTTGTGCGTCTTGAGTGGCTGCTGCCCCAGCTGTGAGGGAAGTGGGGCAGACCCTTAAAGGTACACAGGTAGGTACCAGCGCCCCAGCCCAGGGCGAGTTGTGACACTGCTCTTTGCCTCCAGCTTTTATCGTGTCCTTGGAAGGAGGAACCCCTCCAGTCTTGGGGCCCCTCCTTATAACCAGTGAGCACCACGGTGTTGATGCTGTGTGAGGTGTGTTCCTGGTGGCAGAGTGAGGCCTGAAGGGTTGGGTGTGCCTCACACGGCCCTTCTCAGGCTGCTCAGGTGCGCACAGGCCTCACAGGGGTAGCAGCATCTTTACTGAACAGGTGTGTCTGACTCTCTAAAGGCAAAGGCAGTTCCCACCCTGAGCAGCCTCAGTGGCTCGTGTCGAGGGCAGGGAAGCCGTGGAGTAAAGCCATCGTCCAAAGCAAGGACTCCTCTGGGCTCCGGACATTCCTCTCAGCAGATCAAGGTCACCCCAGTCCCTCAGGAACCTTCAGGCTGGTGGCCAGCACGGTCAGGGCCAAAGAAACCCGAGGTCACAGCAAAGGACAGGATTTGGAAATTGATCATCTCTGCATTATGGAAGGTTCCTTGCCAGGCAGAGCGGAGACACAGCCTCGTTAGCTAATGCGAGTTTAATAATGGAGTTGAGAGAGCTGGACGCCAGCCTAGCCAACTGCCCAGGGGACTTTCAAAAATAGAACGAAGGAAGGTGTCCCCCACCTGCTCGGGGGCTCCACCTCCTGGAAGGCAGGGGCCGCCAGGCAGCGTCCTGGGCAGTCTCCTCCGGACAAAAGCATCCCTTCGACATCCATCACTTTGTGTAAAAGAAGAGTTATTGTTATGGGATCCTGGCGCCTGATCAATATCTCCTGCTTTGCAAATAAACTTCTTGGCTTGGCCTTGACATTAATCTACCATCAGGAGCCCATTATCTCAAGACCAATGTTCTGTTCTATTGACTTGCTCGTGGTTTTTTTCTCCCCCAAGATCAGAATATAATTGCACTTCTCCAGGCAGCACGTCCGCTAATTGCAGCCCCATACACACGTAGCTCCTTGTGGAAAGCCCAGGACAGGGCACATCTAGGGTGGAAAGAGAGAGTGGCTGGCGGGGCGTCCAAGGGGACCGAGAACCCTCAGGCATGAGGTAGAAGGAAGAATGGCCCTTCTAGAATTAATCAAGACATTAGACAAACCCCCAGTATCCCACTGAGCAGTTCAAGCTGAAAATGGTTCTTTGACAGAATTGATGGTGTAGGTGTACCCCCTCCTACTCCTCATTCCACAAGTGAAGGCATATAGTGACAAGATTAATAATAATGTCCCCAATCCAGCTGTGTCCCCCCATCGCCACAGCCTCCACACCATGACCGAAACCGAGAACCACAAACCAAAGCCTTGACGGCCTCATACCTGCAAGGGCCTCCCAGGCCTTCCCTCCCCAAGCCTGCACCCTTCCGGCCATTCTGTTTGTGAAATAGAAATTGGATTGTGTTGTCTCCCTCACTGACAGCTTTCAGCGCAAACTCCCTATTCTGCCCTTTAGGACCCTTATGCTTGTCCCCTCGCTTGTCTTTGACCTCCCCTCCCATCACTTCTCCCTCTGCTCCAGGCCTCTGGCTTGCTTTGTTCAGAGATTATGCCAAACCTGGTCCTACCCCAGGGCCTTTGCATTTGCTCTTCCCGCCACCTGTTCACTCACCCCTCAGATCTTTATGTTACTTTTACCTTCTCATCATTTAAGTCTTGCCTCAAATATTCCCTGCTAGATGAGGCTTTCCCTGACAGGTAGAGGTGACAGAGCAGCCCACACATCCATTCAGTGAGTCTATCCAGTGACCTCATTTTGGTTTCCTTACAGCACATATCACCACCTGAAACTGTCTCCCTGTGTTAGTTACCTACTGCCACGCGGAGAAAAGTACCCCCAAAACATAGCATCTTACAGTGGTTATTACTGAAAGTTTGTGTGGGGCAGGGATTTGGGAGTGGCTTAGCAGGACAGTGCTGCCTGGGGCTGTCTTGAAGTTGGAGTCAGAGCATCAGCCAGGGCTGCTGTCATCTGAAGGCTTGACTGGGGCTGGAGGATCAGCTTCTAAAACCGCTCATTCATTGACTGGCAAGTTAGCACTATTAGCAGAAGGCCTCAACTCCTCAGCCCTGGGCCTCACCATAGCGCTGCTTGAGTGCCCCAAAGCAAGTGTTCCCAGGGAGTAAGGTGGAAGCCTTATCATTTCTGCAGTGTCCTGTTGGTTACACAGCTCAGTCCTCATGTGACCATTCTGGGAGAGAACTAACATGGGGTATAAATACCAGGAGGTGAGGGGGTCATTGGGAGGACTGTCTTATAGACTGCACCCCTCCCCCCCCCCCCCGAGAGCAGGAGTCCTGGCTGACTTATTCACCACTGTATGTGCCCAGCACAGTGTTTGGCACATAACAGATACTCCATAAATATTAGTCAGACGTATGAATGAATCATGTAACACTGCTGTGTCTGTGTGCCAGTCTGTGCTAAGCACTTTCCATGCACTGTGTCATCTCCAGGCCCATCCCATTTCATCCTTTGCAGATGAGGAAACTGAGCCTCAGAGGAGTTAGTACCTCGATGGAAGTCGCAAAGCTGATACGTGGCTGAGGCAGGATTTGAACCCAGGACTGTTGAGGAGGGTCTGGTTAAGCTGGGCCCCTCAGTGGGAGTGAGTCAGCATTGATTGTACTTAAACATTCTCAAATCGCAGCCAAACCCAGGAGCTCTTTGTGATGCCAAGCATGGAGGGAGAACCATCAGGCCCCTCACTGCAGCGATCCCAGCTGCATGGCTTAGCCAGCCAGACTGCGGGGAGGCGAGGGCAGGGCACCTGCTGCCACGGCTCAGGGTGACCCAGCGAAGAGGCCGACATCCAGGAGCAGCCTCCAGACCTGTGTGCCACCCTGTCCCCTTGCGTCCCTGCCCCAGGCCTCACTAAGCGGTCTCCTCGTCCTCCCCACTGAGCCCCCGTGCCACACCTTGGGATTCCTCACAGCAGCATCCAGCATCCACGTCCTTTAGAGCTCAGATTCCAGAGTCGGCAAAAGCCGAGTGTGAATTCTGGCGCCACCTCTTGCTCACCCTTGACCTTAGACACGCCTCTAGCTTCTCTGAGCCTCGGTGTCCTCATCTGTAAAACGGGGCTCTGTCCCCACCCGTGTTCCAGGTGTCCTGACGAGGCTGCAGTGCAGTTGTGCACACGAAGCTCGTCGCGTCGTGTCCGGCCATGGGGAAGCACTCAGTGCTGTCAGCTGTTTGTGCTGCTGTTACACGCTGCTTTCCTCCGTCCCTAGTTCTATAAACGGGGCTTTCGTGGACAATCCAAGCTGATGCTTTCGATGAATTGGAGACAGGAATATCATCTCTCTCCCTTTCACCCTGCAGGTGTGGATGTGCGGGGGCCGCATGGAGGACATCCCCTGCTCCAGGGTGGGCCACATCTACAGGAAGTATGTGCCCTACAAAGTCCCCGCCGGTGTCAGCCTGGCCCGGGTAAGCTGGCGGCTTCGCTGGAGGGGGTGCGAGGGGGTGGCCTAGCCCCATTAGCAGAGCAGAGATCCTCTAAGGCACCTGGGGCCGCAGGCCAGATAATCCCTAGGTGTGCCCCCACCATTCTCCAGGAGAAATCCGATGTTTACCCACTTAGTACCTACCTGTGTGACTTTGGGAGGCTAACGTGATTCCTCTGAGCCTGTTTCTGCTTTTGTGTAAAGGAAGCTAATTTTTCCCAACTCTTCCTTAGCATTGCCAGGAGAATTAAGGCGATGGCACCATTTCCCAAAGTGTGACGGACAAGATGATTTGAGGCGGTAGATACAGGAACATTTTATTTACATGTGTTTAAATTAATGTGGACGAGAAATTAACATGTATTCGTGTAGCAAACTTGTGATGTCACAGACATCGCGACTTAGAGTAAAGCTAAAGCGGGTGCAAAGTTAAAGAAACCTGTTAGGTAAATGTTACTGCAGGCTGAGTGGTGTGCTTGGAGACACGTACTTAAAACTTCCTGGCACAGGGGCCGTTAATAAAGGTCAGTGTCTTTCTCTTCTCCCCACCCCTCCCCACTTTTATTGCCAAAGATTCTGTCAAACTATTTCATGCCTTCCAGTGGGTTGTATTGATCATTGCTTGAACGTCATTGGCCACTGGCGACCAATGTAAATCCGTTGGCCAGAGGTTTGGGGGTTTTCGGGGGAGGGATATGAGTGATAGTTCGCTAAACTTTAATAATACATTTTAAAATATTAAGTGTCTTGAGAAAATGAATCAAGGTGACCACAAAAGAAAACCGAAGAGAATGGGGTGTCCCCCGAGGGTAAAAAGGGTCACAGGGAGATTTGGGGGAGCTGGAAAGGTCACCGGCACAGCTTTGCTCGTGGACAGCCCACCCCACTCCTCCACCAGACAGCGCCCCTTGTAAGCCTGATTGGCATCAGCCTCGTCTGCCCAGGCCGCTGCCACCCCCTTCCTGATCACCCGATAGTTGAGGATGTGAAGGATTGTAGCCCCTGGGTCCAGGGAGAGCCTCTGTCCTGCAATTTACAAGAAGACAGATACCCAGCGCAAGGGTCCCACCCATTCCTCCCCCACCCCCACCCCCCACCACACACACACACACACACACACACACACACACACACACACACACACACCTCCATCCGAGGCTGGTGGCTATCTCAGAGGCGGCTGGCTAGGGCCTGTGGAGCCAACATTGAGGGAAAAGAGAGCCGGCAGCGCTCTCTAGTGGTCAAAGGGTGAAACAGCAGCCGCACCCGCCATCCGCGCTTTGGGCGGCTCCCCGTGACGCAGGGATGGGTTCTAGATTCAGCAGAAGAGGCAGGAATCACAATTCCTCTGAAATACCATTTGCAATCTCAGAGAAGGTGTCAGGCACGAAACAGCGCAGTCTCTCAGCAAGCCAAGACCGACTCTTCCAGCTCTTAGGGACGGCGGGACCATGGGAAGCCCCCCTGACCCCTGAACAGAGCCGTTCCCCAGAGCATCCCTCTCCCTCTGCAGAGCTATCATCTATGCGATCCGCCGGGCAGAGAGGCACTACCGCCTCCGGCCTGTGGAACTGTGGATGGATTCAGTGGTAACCGCTAACTGTAGTAACAAAAACTTCCGTGAGCTAGGCAGCTTGCAGAACATCTTACATATTTATCCAACTTAATTCTCATTTGCTTTTAATCCCCATTTTAGACATGAGGAAGTAAAACAGAGACATTAAGTCCGAAGAGTCAGAATTCAATCCCACCCTAGGCCTGTCTGGGCCTGAGGCAGCATTCGTCCCTTAAATAGCGACTGCTAATGTTAGTGCCAGCTTTCATGTCAGCATCAGCTGCAGCAAGACGGGAAGTGTACTTCAATGTTATCGGAATTCTGTGTTTATATATTTTCATTTATTTTTGTCTGTACTGGATCAGTTTCCTGTGCCTTTCCACCAGTTGACAGTCTGCGTGGCGCCCATGTAAGTTTGCGGGACCACAGAGCTGCCTATGTAAGCTCCCCTGGCGTCCGATCCAGTGTCTGATACCCTCATTTAGTTGCAGATCAGATATTAAATGTTTGCTCCATGTCTTAACAACCAATTCCTTCTAGAGCATTATCTCTGGGAACATCATTTTGATGGATTTGAGGAGAGAGACTCCCAAAGCCCTGAGAGGGACTGATAAAGAGGGCAGCCGAGGTCTTGCTGAAGTTGTGCCGACTCCGGGACAGGCAGCCAGACGGCAGAGGAGATGCGGAGCAGGGAGGAGGGGCTCACCTCCAGCTCGCCTGCCTCCGGAACAAGCAGCCACTTGGTTCACGAATTTGCTAAAAGCCTTCTCTCTGCCTCTGGGAAAGGGAAGGCAGTAACGGGAACCCACTCAAACTTGGCACAACAAAACTGGAGACTTATTCCAAGGGTTGAGCAGATCTCTGTGATCCCGGCACAAGAAGAGCAGGGCTGGGACCCAGAACTAGGAAGGTGTTAGGAGGAGGGATAAGAGGGCCGCACAGCCCACTAAAACCCCTGGGTCCTTTCCAGGGTTCTCATAAGTGGAGATAAGGGGATAAATGTGAAGTCCTTCACTTCGGTCCAGACACTCAGCTGCACACAAGTTCAAGATCAGGGAGAAAAGGCTTATTAAGTTGTGTCTGGAAAATGCAATATTCATTAAAATAGTGATTTTTTTCTTTTTTCCCTTATTTTATTGGATTTATTGGGGGTGACATTGGTTCACAAAACCATACAAGTTTCAAGTATACAACTCAAAGAAACATCATCTGCACACTGCATCGTGCGCCCACCACCCAAAGCACAATCTCCGTCTGCCCCCCCTTCCCCCGCCCTTTGCCCACCTCCATCCCCCTTTCCCTCCAGCAAAAAAAAAAAAAAGTAATTTAAGTATATCAGCTAAAATTTAAATATATGTGATTTGCTCCTGTAAGAATAACACTGGTGAGTGTCAGCACCTTGCCTTGGTCAGAGTGGCCACCCTCGCCCGCAGCTTGAGCACATTAGTGAGCAAAGGACCTGGGGCATGGGCAGCCTGGGAAAGGGAGAGTCAGCCCTTCAGGCCTTCAGCTTCCTCTGGGCACAGTCTTAAATTAAACCCAGCTTTGCCATGCAGGGGCCGCGCTGTCCCTGACCTCTTTTCTAACCCACTGTTGACCTCTTCAGCACTCAGGAAGGAGGCGGTGGCAAGGAATTGCCTTAGCTTCCTAGTCCCAAACTCAGAGGCAGCACAGTTGAGGAGTTGGTGAATCTTGTGTTTGGTACCAGGGCCTCCTCCTATTGGCTTCCTTCCTCCTCACCCGGGAGTCATCAAACTGTTTTCGTGTGGCCCATGAGCTAAGAATGATTTTTACATTTTTAAATAGTGGCGGGGGGTGGGGGGGGCAGTGGACAGGGGGTCAAGAGATTATTTTGTGACACATGAAAATGAAATTTCGGTGTCCATAAAGTTTTATTGGCACGCAGCCACACGCATTCATTTACACAGTGTCTCGGGCTGCTTTACAGCTACATCATCAGAGCTGAGGTCATATGGCTTGCAAAGCCTAAAGTATTTATTACCTGGCCCTGTACAGAAAACATCTGCTTCTAGAGCCGTCCTTTACCCTGAGGCGTGAAAGACTGATCGCAGCCTGCGTGCTGACTCTCTTGCACCCTTCAGAAGAACATTTGGATCGCAGTCGGAAAAAATATTTTTATGATGGAGATAAAGCCTGGAGACTTAAATGTGTGTGTTGAAGGGGAGAGGAGATTTCTGGCAACAGCCAGGGGTTCGAGGGCAGGCGCTGTTGGAGCAGGAACTTCCCCCGACCCTGGAGTTGCACTCTTCCAGAGCAGCTGTCAGATGCTCAGCAGGTGGAGTCTGCCCTGCAGGTGGGACAGGAACGTTTGTCACTCCTCTGTCCCCAGGTCTGCTCACTAACAGGGTGCCTCCTCACCGGCTGCCTCTACTTGCCAGTAATGTGGTTGTCTTTTTTTTTGTTTGTTTGTTTTTTTGATAATCCTTGTGCTTCATAATAAAAGTAGCAGAACTATCCCAGCTCAAAAAAAACTATTTAAAATTCCAGCTGCTGAAGGGATTCTACCTTTTGGTCTCAAATTATAATTTGTTTTTACCATGCAACTCGGTCAGCACTTTTGAAAATGACAGAAACCCAACTCAAACTGGCTTGAGCAGAAAGGGAATTTACCGACTGGTGTAAACGGAACGTCCTAAGGTGGTTTGGGCTTCGGGCATGGCTGGATTCAGGTGCTAAAAGGAGGAATGCGGTCCTCCCTCCAGCCCTCAGCTCCGCTTCATCCTGGGTTGACTTCAGCCTTGGACGGGCTTTCCGTGTAGCCCAGCTGCCCTGGTTGGCATCTTACCCACCAGAGTAATCCACGCAGAAGCACAGTGATTCTTCCCCATAGTTCCAGCAGAAATTCCGTGGCCAGTAAATGCCTGTTGATTCTGATTGTCTTGACTCAGATCACGGGTTCCCTGCTGACCAATTCCTGTGTCCAGGGCTGTCTGTATTCCCATTAGCCTAGCTGAGTCCTGTGCCACATGAGATAACAGTGAAGCAGAGGTGGGTCCCCCTCCCCCCCCCAAAAAAAAACCAGGAGGAGGCCATCCCTAGAAAAGTGGGGATAGAAACGGGCCGGCAAAACAACAGCAGCCTATTACTCAACCATAAGCTGTAGAGTCCTTACAAACATGTAGATAATAAACATAGAAGGTTGACAGACATGGTAGGGCTGAGGTCATTGATGCAACAATGCAGCTGGCATGGCTCAGTGGTTGAGTGTCGACCTATGAACCAGGAGGTCAGGGTTCGAGTCCCAGTCGGGGCCCACGCCCAGGTTGCTGGCTGGATCCCCAGTGTGGGGCGTGCAGGAGGCAGCTGATCAATGATTCTCTCTCATCATCGATGTTTCTATCTCTCCCTCTCCCTTCCTCTTTGAAATCAATAACAAATATTTTTAAGAAAAAAAAGAAAGAGTGGCCTCAACCTCCAGAACCCTTTGCACCCCACGCCCCGGCCTCGGCCCCTCGGAGTGCCTGAGCCTTGCACCTGCCTGTCGCCCCTCCAGAACCTGAAGCGCGTGGCCGAAGTGTGGATGGACGAGTACGCCGAGCACATCTACCAGCGCCGGCCCGAGTACCGCCACCTCTCCGCCGGGGACGTCGCTGCCCAGAAGAAGCTCCGCAGCTCCCTTAACTGCAAGAGTTTCAAGTGGTTTATGACCCAGATCGCCTGGGACCTGCCCAAATTCTACCCGCCCGTGGAGCCCCCGGCCGCAGCATGGGGGGAGGTGAGTCGAGGGCAGAGCCAGCTCCAGTCCTGGGGCCACTGCAAAGCGCTCACTCGGACCCTGTTCACGGGGCGGGGAAACATGCCATCAGGGTATCAGTTGTGAAACTTTCTCACCTTTCTCCAGCTTTGTTCCTTGTTTTTGGTTTGGGGTTTGTTTTGTTTCTCGGTATGTGTATTCTTCTGTTTAATGACCCACGTAGAGGAAAATCAGAACGTTAAGTGATTCGCATAAATTTTACCCTTGACCGTTATATTATGCACTGCTGGCTTTAAACGCACATAGTAAGGCATGTAAGGCATGGTAGGATCAGTGACATTTCAAACCGTGTACACACCTGTGTGTTTCTTACCAAAACAGTGGAAACACTGCTCAAAATGAACTAAGCTGATAGATAAACACTGTCTCCCGTGGCCTCCTGATGAGTGAGGAGGAGCTGCAGGAAAAGGAACTCTGGGTGACCCCACCTCCCTTTCCTTCTGAGTTGTTACCTGCTGCTTAAGTGACTGCCTGATCCAGGGAAGTAACACGGTGACTGGATTATCAGACAGAGCACCTGCTCCTTCCCCTTGTCTGATAACACCATTCAGCGGAGCAAGTTCTGGCTGGAAAGGAAAGCTGGCCTCCGGGCCTGCTAGCACCCCACTTAGCCTTAGACGACAGCACACGCTCCCCTTGGGTCTTCCTGACTCCCCCCGGCATGTGGAACCCCAGAATTCTGGGCACCGCAGACATGTAGACAGGTGTGGAGAGAAGAACATGGATGATCCTATAGCATGTGTCACCTCTGCTCTCAGTCCGGCTCCGTTGTCCCATCAGATTTCACTCACAAGTTCAAAGATAAATTATTAAAAAACTTAAGATGGAGACACAGAGCTGTGATCCAGCACAGGCCCTCCTGAGCGAGGGGCTCTGGGCCACGACCCATGTCACACCCCACGAATCCCGTCCTGCTGGGGAGGCGGGCAGTCTTCCAGGGGCAGCGCTCAGTCGCCGGCTCCTGACTCCTGGGTCTCCGAGCTCACAGGACCCTCTCACTTGTACATGGATGTAGTGGAGCCTGGGGAGAGGGATCAAATTCCCTGAGAGTGGGCCAGGGAGCCCTCCTTTCCCACCGCTCCCCTCAAACCCCCTCCCCCCTGCCCCGGGACTGTGTGCTCTAAGACAGCAGGGTTTAGAGGAGCCCCTCTCTGTGGGCTGAGCATCCTTTCCTGAGGGGCCAAGGCACTGCCACAGCCCGGGCTCAGTTAGGGCCGCTCAGAGCCCAGCCCATCTGAGTCTCTGCTTCGGTTCCTTCCTCCACCCCGTAAGGGCCCCAGAGGGAATCTTGCCGTGCCTCACTGTCTACTCTTTCCCTCTTTCTTGTCCAGATTCGCAGTGTGGGCACAGGGCTGTGTGTGGACACGAAGCATGGGGCCGTGGGCTCCCCGCTGAGGCTGGAGAGCTGCGTCCGGGGCCGCGGAGAGGCCGCCTGGAACAACATGCAGGTAAGGCCTCCCCCGGGGACTGGCACCAGGTTCTCTGCGCCCAGGTGTGGGGACTGGGAGGGACAGGCCATGGTCAATGCTGAGTGAGAGAGTCAGCCCAGGGAGCGAGTTAGAAAGGCTCCCCGAACACCTTGGAAAGAGGATCCCTCGCCCTGCAGTCCAGCCACAATGGGCACTGCTGGTCACAAGTCCCGGCGACGGCGCAGGTGGCCTTCACAAAAAGGGAGCTATCGGCTCATGGCACTGGAAAGTCTGGATGATGTCATCGGGATCTCTCCAGGTCTCACCTCTGCTCCCCTCTCTGTCGGCTTCCTTCAGAACCTGCCCCTCCCCAGGGGGTAGCAGATGTGACCCCAGCAGCAGAGGCCAAGCCCCCCGGGGGAAGGCACGTCCCTTCCAAGAGTTCTCAGTGCTGGCTCTCCTGAGCCGTCACAGGGGGGAACGTGATACTGTCCTCACAGTGATCAGGCCCAGGTCACACCTGCAGCCTGGGGTGTGGTCACCCTCACCGAAGAAGAGGAGAGAGAGGGTTGGTTCCCCAGGGGTCATTCCCAGGAGGTGTGCTCAGAAGACGAGGGTGCGAGCCAGCCTTGCCGGGAAAGCCGCCACCCTCGGGAACTGCATTCAGCTTCCTCGATCCGCCCTCCAAGCGGTCAGCCCCGTGTTAATTCACATGGCACCTTCCGAACCTGGGCTCAGGGCTCCTTCCTGTGGGTTTGTGGGGCTTTGGAAGCTGCACTGATAAAGCCTGTAAGGCGGGTCCTGTGCAAACACAGACGTCAGCCGGTGCGCTGCGAGCTCGCCGAGAAAGGACAGCGCCGCCTCTCACCCTGCACGGCGCCCCGCCTGCCCGTCTCTGCCCTCCCTCTGAGCGGCTTGCCGCTCCCCCTCGTCCTTTCTTGATGACAATTCTCATTAGGTAGTGGTTCTCCTTGAGGAATTCTTCTGAATTCTGCAAGGCCATGATGTGGGATTTGCTCCAAAATAAGGTGGGGGAAGGGGTCAAGTCATACAAGATTCACCACTAGGTGGTGGGAACGGCTGTGGCCAATATCCCCTTTTTCTGGACCTCTGTATTTAAACTTTCCATATTTAAAAAAATAAAGTGCCCTCGCTCTGCCATGTTGTCATGATGTCCGTGTGCACAGGTGTTCACCTTCACCTGGCGGGAGGACATCCGGCCTGGAGACCCCCAGCACACCAAGAAGTTCTGCTTTGATGCCGTCTCCCACACCAGTCCAGTCACCCTCTATGACTGCCACAGCATGAAGGGCAACCAGCTGTGGAGATACCGAAAGGTAAGGCAGGCTGGGGGTGGGGGGGAGGAGGGTGGGACAGGGCGACCCGCTTTAGAAAGAAAGCAACGTAGTGCCTCACTCCTGCCAGCAAAGCCCGCCCACTCACGCATGTGCGCCACAAGCCTACACGCCTGACGTTCAGACAATCGAGGGAAGCCCGAAATGCAGAGTTTATGTGAAATCTCTAGAATCCGAACTGTTGGTAACTGCGTCCATTAAACACACACACAGTGAGGACCAATGAAAATGGTCTAGAGACGGTCAGTGGTTCAGGCCCCGGCCCAGGAGTGGCATGCTTCACTTGTGCCCACAGCCCAGCGGGCACGACTCAGGCACACGCTAGGGAGGCAGGCGGTGTCTCGCTGTGCACTCAGCAGGAAAGCCACAAGGCCCGAGCCACTGGCCGGTCACTGCCTCGCAGCCCCTTGCTGTTCCTGCTGCTGCTGTTCGCTCGCATCCCCAGCGCTGCCTCGCTGATGACCTCCGTGTTTTGCAGGACAAGAGCCTGTACCACCCCGTCAGCGGCAGTTGCATGGATTGCAGCGAAAGCGACCACAGGATCTTCATGAACATCTGCAACCCCTCCTCTCCCACCCAGCAGTGGCTGTTTGAACACACCAACGCAACAGTCCTGGAGAAATTCAATAGCAACTGAGCCCACATGTCTCCGCCGCAGGCCTAGCGGGTCCTCCCTGCCGCTCACTGCGGCCTTCCTCTTCCCGGAGAGGCAGGGCCTCCGTGGGCACCGCGATGCAAAGGTGCTGGCCAACCGGCTCGGGGCGGAGCTGGAGCCCGGCGACTGCCTGGTCCTGAGGCCCTGAGCGGTGGAGGGGGTGTGGACAGCAGAGCCCACAGCGGCCCCATGCAGAGCCTGCTTTCACCCAATGGCACCGTGGAAGTCCAGGCGGGCCTCCGCAGCCTGGGCACCACGTTCCCTTGAGCATCGTGCGGGAGAAACGCCAGGGCAGCCCCAGGCCACTCACAAATGAGGCTCGTATATGACAGTCCTTTAGAAAAGGCAATTTTGCCTGTTCAAGGCAGCTGTTAGCACATGACCACCCATTTGCAGCAGGAGAGAAGGGGCTGCTGGTGTCTGCCTTGTAGTGCTTGCCGGTCGTGGGGGTTAAGTGCAGTTTGCTTCCGTTCTCTGTCACAGGCCCAGGGAACGCAGCCGGGCCCTCAGCGTGTTCAGTCCTGAACACCGGCAACTGCCAGGCCTGGGGTCAGATGCTGGACCCTCAGACATTCCTTTGCAGTGTGGACATACGGGGTGCCTCTCCTTGCTCTCTGGGTACTGGAAATGCCCATTTAGCGCCCTCCAGGCACAAGGACAGCCCAGCCATCAGTTTTTTAGGGCTGTTTCCGAGTGCCTTGGGCCCATGGGAGAGGCCTAGTAAGATCTCCAAACCAGAAATTCTAGCCGAATTTCCCTGGTCAGTACTTCCACTTCCCCCTCCCCCACCCCCTTCTCTCTCTCTGCCAATTCCTTGCCTCGGGAGAGGAGCAGAGGTGTGGAGTGCTCACCTCCCAAGTCTGGAGGCCTCCAGGGTAGACCACGGCCAGGATGCCTGGTCTCTGACCTCATTATGGTTCTAGTTCTCACGCTGAACTCTAGAATGTTTAAAGAACTCTGTAATTTGATCACAGGCTAGAATGTTACACAGGATCCTGGGATTCTGGCGTCCAATATGGCTTTCTAGAATGTTGTGATTAAAGGAGGCAGCCAGGTGTAATACAGTCATGGCCTGGAGACAGTCTGTGAAGCCCCACTCGTGGGGGAGGAGGGGGGCTGTGTCCATCAGCTCCTGCCAGAGGCCTTGTGACATGGTCCTCAGCCAGACCTAAGGCCCTGCGGCCTCCCACCACGTGTCCCAGGAACAGACGCCCCCCAGCTCCATGCAGTCCCTCCTGTTTCCCTTCTGCTTTGTTAATTATATGTCACACTCCCAGAGGGCCCCCTGACTAATAGGAAGCATTTCTGTAACCAGCCTGCCACGCACTGATTCAGAAATGGAAATGGCATTCCGCAACCTATGGCTTCCATCAGCTAGCCCAGGAAGTCCTGGAAATCGGTATTCCAATTAGAGTCGGGCCTCTCGATTGTATCATTTGCCAATTAAGTAACTGAGACGTAAATCTGGGAACAGAGCCACAAATCTGCCTTTGCGATGCCGGCTGATCTCAAGGCCATCAGTGATCTAGGGGAGGGGGGAGAAAGCATTCCGGGTCACGCCCACCCCCATTAAGCGTGCAGCTGGCAAAGCGTCACTCCTGTCTGCCCCGCACAAGCCCCGCTCTGGCCACCTCTCCGCCGGAGAGGCCGCCCTGTGCTGGCAGAGCTTGCTTGTTGAGCCCTGGTGTCTTCTCCAAATGAGCTTTGTCTGTGGAAGTGGCCCTCAGTGGGAAGGAGTCAAAGAGGAGGCCCCTTCCAGAATCTAGGATAACAAGGGCATTGCAGTTTGGAGAGTCGATTTAGGATTCCTCATCAGAGAGCAATGCAGCATCATTAAAATAAAAACTGTGCCTTTTAAAAATGCAAATGTACAGCAAATCCCTAAACTTGAACCATTTCCTAGTGCCTTGCTAGACAAACATAAAGGGGTAGGGATTGGGGGGGGATGTTTTTGGTGGTATGTGCAGTTCCTATCGGATGAGTGTGTGTTCCTTAATGTTGAATTTCAAGCAGGAGACGTTAGGCCTAGAGCAGGGTCTGAGATGGAGATGCCCCCGGAGGGCGAAGGCCAGAAGTTGCTCCAGTTAGTGTAACACTCCAGATTAAAAGAGCAGCCGGACAGCTCGTGTAGTCTGTGGCCTAGAGGGGCCTCCGCAGCCCCTGGGAGAGGCCCTGTTTGGAGGCCGTGTCTGCACCCCCCCCCCCCAAGCCCCCAGACAGAGTGCAGAGCACTGGCTGGATTTCCAAATGGTCCCACTCCAAGTGGATGAGTGTTCTCGGCACGACCAGGACTCATGTGGAAAGCAGGAGCAGCCCTACGCAGTCCTCAGCCTTCCTCTCGCCCAGCCTTTGGGTCTCCTTTTGGGTCTGGTTTCGTTCCCTCAACAAGTGATGGGCAGGTCCTGTGAGCATTCTGGCCTCTGTCATTGCTGAGCCCACATCTGTAGGTGCTGGTGGTTGACAACGTGTGTAATAGAGAGGGCAGGAGACAAGTTCGTTGCCTGGCTGACCAGCTGGCTGATGGCAAATACTGGCCACTCGTTGTTTTGGCCTCATTTATTTTAGACTGGCTGTCTTAAGGATTTCAGATTCCTGCTCACACCCCCAGCTGATGCCCAAATAGAACAGCCAGGAGCCTGTGGAGAGGCTGTCAGCCAGGTAAGGAATGAGAATGTGGGCCCCTTTTTTTCTAAAGGCTTTATTTCGAGCACGAGATCACAAAACAAATGAGTGGCTAAAAGGTATCATGACCATGTGGCCCACCAGCAGCCTTTCCGAAGGGGACTCTAGAAACATTTCAAAATACAAGCGCATCTCACTGTAAGTACAGGCCTTTGAAGGCGGCCAAGTGTGCCAGCACACGTGTGAAAAGCCATTGCCTCCCATGGGAGCTTGTTTCAGCTTTAAAAACTGCCCAGAAACTGTTGATGCTCCTTTTTAGGAAGAAATAGCTCAGAGGCAGAAGGGGTGCCTGGGCGGGGAGTCACCTTAGGTCAGGGGAGGAAGCAGCTGCTTCAGGTGGAGCCTGTGGATTCCCAGAGCCCACATTAGAGCCGTTTTTCTAACCTACCTGTGGAATTTCTTTTTGTGCATCTCCATTTTTCTAGTCTCGGGAGCATCAAACAAGCTGCACAGCACTTTACAGCTGTCAGTGGGAAATCCGGACTCCTTGCTTCCACAACCCCTGGTTTGTAGATTGGTGATCTCGTATAATTCCTAATAGACAATGCATTTTCAGCGTTTTCTGGAAATTTCTAAGTGTGGGAGAGGGGCAAGGAGTGTGGTTCTGTTCTGGGACTCTTCTCTGCTTTCAGCTGATGCTCTTTGTGAAAAATCCAAGTAACATTTTAGTTCAACTTGATCGTGAGCCGAGGCCCACTGCCACCTCTGGGCTGGGTCTTGGGCCTACATTCCAAGTGACAAGGTCCCGGGCCCGACAATAGGGTCAAGCTCCTGTTCTGTTTGGGCTGGAAAACTGGGGTCCCAAGGGGGTTAGGGACTAGTTGAGCAAAGTCAGACTGGGATTCCCTAGAGAAAGCTCGAGACCACCAGCCTCTCTTCTCCTGCCTGGAAAAGTGCGCCTTTGTGAAGAACTGACTTCATGTACAGTTGTGATTGTGACTGAGTAAAACTCCAGACTTTCTCTAATGTGGTCTCCAGTTCATTCCTGGTCATGCGCCATTCCCTACTCTACCTTCTCCCCCCCGCCCCCCACCCCGCCTCACTCAGTATCAGTACCCAGGCCCTCTGCTGGGCACTGAGCAAACTCCCGAGGGAGGCAGACCTAAAGCAACTGACCAAGATGATTTCAGATGTGAATAGGGTGAGGAAGGATATAAAACCAGATATTTGAGAGGCTGGAGTGCCATACTTACTCAGAAACAGATTTAGAGAACTTGGCAATTTGCTCAGCATTGGGAAGGATGGTCAGGCGGTGCCTGTCCGCAAGAGCGGGGAAATATGAGGGAGTGTGAGCCAAGAAGCAATGCGGGAAGAGAGTTCTAGGCTAAAGTGAAGAGCCAGTGCAAAGGCCCTGAGGCAGGAAGGCGTTCCCATGTTGGAGGCACAGAGGAGGTGAGCTCACAGAGGTGAGCAGGGTGGCCCACGACAGACTACACCCAGGAGCGGAGGAGTTCAGGAGGACAGCGACAACATGACATAAGCTTAGCTCATTTCGGATGCTCACCCATCAGCCAGAAGTCTACTTACCAAAACATTGTGATACTTTGAGTATTAGGTTTGTGTGATACCATGTGGTGGGAAGAGCACTGGCTGGCCCGGCTCTACAGCAGGCTCACTGAGATCTGGTGTGTGTCCTGCCCACTTTCTGGCCTCGGTTTTCCTCAGTAAAAATGAGACATTTGGGGATCCAGCTCCACCGATGTTCCTGTGGTTGAGTCTTGATGTGGAGCTGCAGGGGACCATGAGCCGTGCTTCCCGCTGTGCTGTCATGCAGGGCCCACCAGAGGGCGCCGTGGACCACCGCTTGGAGAAGGCTGACACCAGAAACGGGGAGTATTCACTGGCCACTGGCAGGTTTAAGCCCTGAGAGGATGGATATTTCCTTTTGTAGCTTCCATTATCTTTTGAAAAGTCTTTTACCACCTATGACATGATAATTTTCCTCAAAAAATTGTAAAGGGTTTCTTTAAAAAGCTTAAACTCTTACTAGGAATAAAAAAGAGGAGAGGGAAGGCATTCCAGGTGTCGGAGGCAGCAGGATGCTGTGGAGGGAGATGACAGATATGCAGGTCTGTGGGGCCGGAGCAGAGTGGGAGAGAAAGTGGAGACAAGAGGCAGGAGGAGCCATGTTAAGGAGTCCGGTCTTGATTTTAAAAGCAGAGGAACCACGAGAGGGTTTTAAACTGGGCAGAGTGAGGGCATCCGATGTGCCCTTGGCTGATGCTGGAGCCAGGAGGGACTTGCTCAAGGAGCTGGGCACATAGTAGGCCTACAGGGTGAGAAACAAATCCAAGCAGCTGGCCCTGGGGGCCTTCTCCAAGTCACCAACCGCTGGGGCAGGTGAGAGGACAGAAAGAGGGCATTTCTCATCCTCCCGAGCCCTCCGTGAGGAGAAGCCAGGTATCCAAGGGGTCGGCTGCACAGAGTGGGAGCTCTGGATACCTGTTCCGAAATAGCTTTAGAGAACTTGGCAGTCCCCTCAAAGTTTTGAATCTTCTTTTCCTCTGTGTTTCGTTTGAGATGGGGGCTTTGAGGGTTCGTAGTAAGAGCCCAATAAGTATTGGATGGACAAATACAGTTCGAGTAATGTAGTTTCAGATTACACTTTAGGCCTCCCCTCCCTCCTCTCCCCAGCCCCCCCAGCCCACAGACCCTCTGACAGAATGCTCCCACATTTGTTACATGCAATGCGCCCTTCCTCTCCCTGGGCCTCCAGTTCCCCCTATGACACTGGGTGAGGGGAGCAAATTAGATCATGGGCAGCCTAGACTCATAGTTCTAAATCTTGCATAAGGATTTATTTTCCAACCTCAGTGAGGGGATGGGAGTGGGACCCCCTTCCGGTTCTGCTGGTGTCTCCCACCCCAGGGCTTCTGGCCTTTTGCTGAAGTGGGTCCAGGGTTCAGTATCCAAAATGTCCTTTCTGCAGCTGCTCACAGCTCTGCCAACCTCTGGCCTCAGGCAGCTGCCTCCTCTTGTTCACCCTCAAGGCCTGGGCTGCCTGGTTTGGCCATACCTGGGTGCCACGACCTGCAGTTCTTGCCCTCAAGTCTGGCTTGATTCATGGCAGGCCGGTGATGGCCTGTGGTGCACTCACTCACTAACACGCACAGTGCCAGAGAAACAAAGGACCACTCCGTGAACCCTTAGAAAGCAGGTTTCTTAGCAACTTTACAGCTTTTGTTCATGAGCTACTTTGACTTGAAGAAGCGTCTGATCTCCTGCCAGCTCCTGCCTGGGGATGGGGGGAAGGGGTGGCAGATCTGCCTTTGCTGGAGCTGAGAGCTGAGCGCCCCACCATTACTCTCTATTTACTATAGGTCATTAATTCGTTAACATTGAACTCAGGGCCAACAGCACTGTAACTAATGACTCAGAGAAACGTACTACCACGTCTTCGTGCCTATGAACACTAGACAGCACCTCGGCACTGCGCTTGAGGGGCATTTTAAACCACAATCACCAACAGAAAGGTGGTACAAAAATATGAAAAACGTGCCACTACACAGACCACAACGAGGACACTTGTTTACAGCGTGAGAGCTGACTCGACCTCAGCTGGGAACATGCATGTTTGAAGACTCAAATATTCTGGCACTCTGCCCGTGCACATGTCTGTAAATGACCTCGAAGGTGCCACCGGTGTTCATTTTGAGGTTTCAAATACATTTTAGTGAGTAGGCACAGTCACAAATACAAAATCAGTGAAAAGTGAGGATCTTTTCTTTTATTCATTCATTCGTTTAGTGTCTTTCTCCTCCACTTAATTTCCGAGGACAGGGCTCTTCCTGTACCCATGTCCACCGTCTTTCCCCCGGTTCTTAGCAGAACTGGCTTGGACCTCAGACATCGTTGAGCTTCTGATGAACCAACCACCTACCTCTTGTTAACGTAAAAACCATTGAAACCTGTAAAGAATTTTGTGAGTTTATTTGAGCCAAACTGTCGACATATGCCGGGAAGCAGAACCTCAATGAATTGGGATAATGCTCCGGAGAATGGCGGGGTCACATTTGTATTTATACATTGCAATCAAAGGAGGGACATAGGTGAGTTACATGAAATTCAATTAACATGATAGTGAAGGAATTTGTCGTCTCTGTCCTGGGGCCCAGCACATTTGGTTGTGCCCCAGGGGCTCCAGAAAAAAAGGGAAGTTACAAGTTACCCAGACATTTCAAGGGTATGTTATCATAGATGCAAAAAGACAGATAGGCTCAGTTAAGGTAAAGGTTGACCTTGTCAGTGAAGATACTGGCCTAGGACATAACTGCCCACCATAACTGCTTTAGTTAAAGTTTAATTTCAGACCATCCTTTGTGGTTACTTTAGGTCTCTGAGTCTGCAAGACTGCTATGCAGGCTTCCCCTGAGCTTGTCAGGTCAGCATGTGGCCCCTTTAGTCCACACTCTGGAATTTCAGTTTTGCAAAATTTATTAACAATCCTTATTACTTAGGTTATCATTAGCTACATAATCATCTTTTCAGGACTGACTTTCCCTAACCAAACTCGCAAAAGACTGACAGAGAAATGAAAAGTCCATTTTTTCATGGGCATTAGTATTGTCTAGTGACCCAAGTAATTGTGTACACTCTCCTACTTACTATCAGTTGAGTTATAATTTAGAAGTTTGCTTGGTGCTCTGCCATTAAAGAAGTGGCGAGGGCTAAGGGCTGTTTTTTGCATTCCCGTGACAGTTTCACACGCCCCTATTTCCATACCTAATTGGTTCCTGAAAATGTGACTAATGCCAAAAGCACAAAAGTCAAACAACACATTGATCCTGTCAGCAGGGCACATCTGTTCCTAGGGAATAAGGAATGGTATAACATTTCCAATTACAACTGCCTTTGTGGACATAATCTTCGATGATATATTTCCTGCCTTTCCTACTATATCTTCAATTTGATTATTTTCCTTCGCTAATCAAAAAAAAACAGGCTTAAGAACATCAAGTGGAGGCTAGAGATGCATCCCTTTCAACAAATCTAATGATTTCTTTTTATGTCAATTATAGTTAATGATATACATACTTCCTTTGTTGAGATATAATTCGCCCATTTAAAGTGTATAGTGTTCTTAGTATATTCACAAGGTTGTACAACCATCACCACTTCCTAATTCCAGAACATTTTTGTTGCCCCCAAAAAGAAACCCTACCCATTAGCAGTCACTCCCTACCTCAAACTACACACTACCACCACCCCGCCCCCAGGCCCTCAGCCGCTGGTAATTGCTAATCTGTTCTCTATGGAGTTGCCTTTTCTGGACATTTCACATAAATGGAATCACAATATGTGATCTTTGGGTCTGGTTTTCACTTAGCATATTTTCTAGGTTCATCCATATTGTTGCATATATCAGTACTTCGTTCCTTTCCATTGAAGAACACTATTCCATTGTCTAAATAGACCACATTTTGTTTATCCAGTTATCATTTGATGGATATTTGGGTTAGTTCCATCTTTTGGCTATTATGCATAATGCTACTACTATGAACATTCATGTACAAGTTTTTGTGTGGATGTATGTCTTCATTTCTCTTGGATAGACACCTAAGAGTGGAATTGCTAGGTCATATGACAACTCTTCGTTTCACATTTTGAGAAACTGCTAAACTGTTTTTTCCAAAGTGGCTACGCCATTTTTGCTTTTCTACCAGCACAATGCTGGTTTCATTTCTTTCCTATATATCCTCACCAATACTTGCTATTCTCTATCTGACTGATTATAGCTAGCCTAATAGGTATGATGTAATTTCTCATTGTGGTTTTGATTATATTTCCCTAATGACTAGTGATGTTGAGTATCTTTTCATGTGGATATTAGCCATTTGTATATCTTCTTTGGAGAAGTATCCATCATACCCTTTACCCACTTTTTTAATTGGCTATTTTTTTTATTGTTGAATTATAAGGGTTTATTATGTATTCTGAATACAAGTCCTTTGTCAGATATGATTTGC